GGATAGGATAAACAAAAAAGAAAAAAAGAAAAGAAAAAAAACGTGGGAGAACAGTAAGGCAAGGATACATACACCAGAGAAAAAAAAAGGGGGGGGGAGGGGGAAGAGGGAAGGGTAAGGAAAAAGAGCGACCAGTGCTTACCTTGATCTGAACGTCCTCTTCGTGAACACCTGTACAAGATGTCGCTGAGGTTTGATTTCTCTTCGGCCGCGAGTTCGCAACACCCCGCGCACTTGAAAGTTTTTTTTTTTGTTTGTTGTTGTTGCTTTAATTAATGTTATAACGATTATGATTCAGTTTTTTTTTTCTTCTTTGAAATAACTATGTATTAATTCATTATGTCACTTCAGAAGCGCTGTGGATTATATGCAAATGAGTGGGAACAAGTGGCGACATGTAAGGAAAGAAAAGAAAAGAAAAGAAAAGAAAAAAACGAAAATCGAGAATAATTTAAAGTTAATTAACGAAATCACTAAGAGAAAACTTGGAGTTAAAAATTAGAATAAAACCGATTTCTTTGTTTGAAAGAAAAAGGTCCGAAAAAAATCGAATTTTCAAAATTCTTCACCAGAACAAACAACCGAAAAGATAATGTGAAAAAAGTAAAAAGAAAAAAAAATGCTTTGGAATATGATAAAAGCAAGAACCAAAAAACAAAAGAAAAACAAACAAACGAAAAATCCGAGGGAGACGAGCAAGAAAGAAAGAGAGAGAGAGAGAGAGAGAGAGAGAGAGATAGGGATTGAGAGAGAGAGTAAGAGTTCAAAGAGAGTCGGAGAGTTTAAGAGAGAGAGAGAGAGAGAGAGAGAGAGAGAGAGAGAGAGAGAGAGAGAGAGAGAGAGAGAGAGAGAGAGAAGAGAGAGAGAGAGAGAGAGAGAGAGAGAGAGAGAGAGAGAGAGAGAGAGAGAGAGAGAGAGAGAGAGAAAGAGAGAGAGAGAGAGAGAAAACGAAAGCGAGAAAGAGAGCGAAAGAGAAAGAAAGAAAGAACAAGACAAAAGAAAGAAAATACAGACAGACGAATAAAAAAGAAAGATAAAAAAAGCTAAACAGCCAGAGACAGACGAAAGGAAAAGAGAGACAGAGAGACAGAGACAGAAAGACCGACAGACAGACAGACAGACAGACAGATGCAAGAGACGTCTCACCCCAACCGAGCTCGAGGGCAAGAGATCGGCGCCGCTGAGAGAAGTGCAGGGGCAGCGACGGGTCACAACACCGACTAGCAAGTGCCAAGCGATCGTCTCCGTCGGCGGCAGAGATGTGAGTGAGCGGCCAGGTGGAGCACTCGCTCTGTGGCGTCGATGCCTGGGGGACGGACGGGCGGGGAGTGGGGGGGGGCGGGGCGGGGAGTGAGGGGGGCGGGGCGGGGAGTGAGGGGGGCGGGGCGGGGAGTGAGGGGGGCGGGGCGGGATGGGGAGTGAGAGGTGGGGGGTGGGAGGGCGGGATGGGGGAGGGGCGTGAGGGAGGGCGGGGAGGGCCGGGTGGGATGTGAGGGGGGAGGGAGAGGGGAAAGGGGGTGGGGGGGGAGTGAGGGAGGACGGCGGGGTAGGGAAGGGAGTGAGGGAGGGGAGAGGGAGTGGAACGTGGAGACGGGGAGGGAGAGGGAGGGATAGGGAGAGGGAGTGGGACGTGGAGGCGGAGATGGTGGGAGGAGGGTGAGGGAGGGAGGGGGTGGGGGGGATGTGGAGAGGGATGGGGAAAAGGGAGGGTGGAGCGTGATGGAGGGAGGGAGGGAGTGAGTGAGAGTGGGGGCCGTGGGAGAGGAAGGAGATCAGGGAGGGAGGGAGGGAGGGAGGGTCATGGGATGTGAAGAGGGACCGAGGGAGGGAGGGAAGGAGGGTGGAGGGTAGGCAGGAAGGGTGGAAGGAAGGAGGGGTAGTGGGGTGTGGATGGGGGGAGAGGAAGGGGACCAGGGAGGGAGGAGGATGGGGGGGGGGGAGCCCAGGGAGAGGGTAAGTGGGCGAGAGAGAGAAGGTAGGTGGGGGTGTAGGGAGGGAGGTGGCCGGGAGAGGTGGGGAGGTGGGCTGTGAGGAAGCAGGAAACCCGGGGAGGGAGGAGAGAGGAGGCGCGGGCTCAGGAAGGGAGGGAGGGAGGGAGGGAGGGAGGGAGGGAAGTCGACGCCGGAGGTAGGGGGGTTGGATATGGGGGAGGGAGGGAGGGGGGGAGGGAGGGTGAGGGCCAGATTGGGATAGGAAGGGAAGGAGGATAGATAGAGGACATGGGATAGGAAGAAGGTAAGAAAGTATGAGGGAGGAGGCAAGAGATGAGGAAAAGGGGAAGGGTAAGGAAGAGGGAGGGAAGGAAGTAGATAAGAGGGAAGGAGGGATAGGTAGATGGGGACAGAAGGGAAGGCTAGAACGGAGGAGAGAAGAGGGGAGAGAAGGAAGTAGGAAGAGGAGAGAGAGGAAGTAGATAAAAGAAATGGAAAGAGAAGAGGTGAGAGAAGACAGGGAGATAAGAAGGATGGGTCAGGGATGGAAAGAGAAGAGAAGAGATGGAGATGAGAAATGAAGAAGAGAGAAGGAGGATGGGGGAATAGGGTGACGAGATGACGTCGAGAGGAATAAGTGAAAGGGAGGAGGTAAGGGAAAGGATGATGTGTACATGAGAGAAGAAGGGAGGGAGTGATATAAAAGAGAGGAAGAGTGACAAGACGAGAGAGGAAGGAGAGACAAAGAAGAGGGGTGTGAAGGTAAGACGGAGAGCAGGAAGACAGAAAAGAGGGAAAAGAGAGAAAGAGAAGAGTGAGGGGTGTGAAAGAAAGCATGGGGGGATAAAGAGGAAGAAAAAGAAACTCGAGAGGGAGGGAAAGGAGGAAGAATGAGAAAAGGAAGGAGAAAGAGGAAAGAAGAAGAGAGAAAGAGAACAAATGAGGAGGTGAGATCGAGCCAGGAAAGAATAATGGGTATGAAGATAAAGGAGATGAAGTGAGAGAAAGTGAACAGGGAAGGAAAAGCAGAGTAGTAAAGTTGGAAGAAGAGGGAGACCAAGAAAACAAAACGAAAGAAGAAGCAGGAGTGAGAGAAAAAGGGAAAAGGGAAGAAGGGAAGAACATCAGAAGAGAAGGGAAAAGGGAAGGTACATTGCAACACTTTTCATTTATGTTTAAGTGGAAATTACGTCTTGTCGTGAGTCTGTCTGTGTATTCACGACTCTTGCCTTTCCTTCTCCTGCCCTTTTCTCTCTCCCTCCTTTTTGTTTCTCCCCCTTCCTTCCCTCCTTACCTTTTCCCCTTCAATTCAAAGTAACCTTTTTCTATTCTATATATATTTCCTTCGTACAAAAGGCCTCACAACTCTCTATTCTTCTCAACAACTGCAACAAACTAGAAAATATATAAAATGAAATTGAATCAATATTATCGGCATAACAATACGAAGATGATAATAACAACAAAAACGTATTAACGACGGTAATGATGATAATGATGACAATAATGATGATGGCAATAGAGATCATGATAGAAATGATAGTGAAAATATTGATAATGATGATAATATTAAAAATAATGATAACAATGTTAGTGATAATATTGATATTGATGATAATATTAATGTTATTAATGAAAATTAAGATGATGATGGTAGTAATGATAATATTAGTAATGATATTAGCAATGATAATAATAATGTTGATGATAATAATAATAATGTTGATGATAATAATAATAATGTTTATAATAATAATGATAATAATGATAATAATAATAATAATAGCAATAATGATAAGGATAATGTTAAATACAATAACAGTTAAGATAATGATAATAAGTGTAATGATGATATTAATGATAATAATAATGATAATAATAATATTATTAATAATAATAAAATTATAATGATAATGACAACAACAATAACAATAGTAGTCATGATAGCAACGGCAATAATAATGATAAAGATAATAAGAATGAAAATAATCATAATGGTACTATCAAACTGAATAATAATGATAATGATGATAATAATAATAATAATAATGATAATTATGGTACTACTACTACTAACAATAATAATGCTGATAATAATAATAATAATAATAATAATAATAATAATAATAATAATGATAATGATAATAAAATAATGATAATAGTAATAATAATAATAATGATAATGATAATAATAATAATAACAATGATAATAATAATAATGGCAATGATAATAATAATAATAATAATAATAATGATAATAATAATAATGGCAGTAACAACAACAACAATAATGCAATAGTAATGGTAGCAATAATGATAATAGTAATAATGATAATAACAATAATGATAATAATTATAATGCTACTACTACTGCTAATAAGAATAATGATAATAACAATAATTATGATAATACTAATAACAACAATGGTGAAAATTACAATGAGAATAATATTAGTAATAATGATATTGATGACAATTGTAATAATGATAGTGACAATAATAATTCCAATAATAATGATAATAGTAATAACAACAATTACTATTATTATACATATCTCTAATCATATGTATAAAGATTATAGGCATGATACTACTACTACTAATACTACTACTGTAACTACTACTATTACTACTACTACTCTAGTGATAATAATAACAATGATAATGGTAACAATAAAAATGTTGATAATGATGATGATATTGTTACTAGTACTACTACTAATAATGATAATGGTAGTAATGATAATAATGATAACGATACTACAAATACTAAAGATAATGATAATGATAATGGTAATGATAGAAATAATAACCGTCGTAATAATAGTAACAATAACAACAGTAGCAATAATGATAATGATAATAATAATAATAATTATGATACTAATAATGATAATAATAATGATAATGATAATGATACTAATAATGATAATAATAAGAGTAATAAAGATAATAATAGTAATAATGATAATGATGATTATAATCATATCAGTGATAATGAAATGATAATGATCATAGCAATAGTATTAATGAATACAAAAATGATGATAAGGATTACAAAGTGTTCGTCTTCTTTGTTTGCCTGGTGTTCTTCGATGATACTTGAGGGCGAAGAAAACACCAATGAAAATTAAAGTAGGTTCATTGGAAATCAGGTCTGACAAAAATAATACGGAACTCTTCATGTTCCTCTGCCCCACACGCCAGGCTCCGTCTCTCTGTGTTTACTGCCAGACGTGTGACTACAGAGACAAAATAAAATGTTGTACTCTATAAATCGAACAGAGAATATCATTCTCTCACAAAAGTGATATGCTACACAGTAATATAAACTAAACATAAACTTCTATATTTCACTTGCTATAACATATCACATAAGAGGTAGTGTATATAATATAATAACATAATTATCACAATATGCGTACGATAATACTGGCATTATAATCCATATGCATTGGCATCACAACATGGCACTCACAACTCACATTGTTATCACAACTCACTTCACTATCACAACCCACATCTCCCTCCCCCCTTCACGTTCACTAGCGGGAGTCTTGAACGGACTTCAACTTGATACGTTCCGAACGTCGAGGTTCAACAGGCACAAATGGGGCGGAAGATCCTGGTGCGTCGTCTGACTGCTGTTCTTCCAGATCTGTTGAGTTTCCAATCATGAGTTGTGTAGGGCGCAAGAAGCGTCGATTGCGCCACAGGATACGGCCACTTGGGAGCCTGATGTGATAATCACGAGATTTGCCAATACCCATGACAGTGCCGACCTTATCCCAACGCTTGGATGTGGGATCCTGGACTCGCACTTGCGCCCCGATCTCTAACTTGGAAAGTGAGTGGGCACGCTTGTCATAGCGGGTCTTCACGTCCTTGGCCCGTACTGCGGCACGACGGTCGCAGTCCTCAGCCTTGGTCTGCCACTCCTTCATGAAGGCACTAGAGTGGGCAGGCACACAGGAGCGAAGGGGCATGCCAAACAGAATCTGAGCAGGAGATCGACCAGTGAAGTTTGGGGTGTTACGTAACTCCAGTAATCCTCTGTCGAACTCCTCACTGTCAATATTTCCGTTGGGTGCTGTCTTCATGATCAGATGCTTGACCTTCTTCACAGCAGCTTCTGCATGCCCATTGGACTGTGGGTAATGGGGGCTTGACATAGCATGACGTACTCCCCATCGCTGAAGGAAAGTTGCAAATTCCCGGCTGGAGAACTGGGGTCCGCCGTCAGTGCGCAGGTGAACTGGCACACCCAGATCACGAAACAAATGCCGGAAGAATCTGATGGTCGTAGCACTTGTTGCACTAGTTCCACATGGGATGACGACTGGCCATCCGGATAGTCTGTCAGCATACACCAAGAAGTGTTTTCCAGCAACACTGAAAAAGTCTGCCGACACAGACATAAATGGTCTTGTGGGTTTGTCATCCAAAATCAGTGGCTCCTGTTGCTGACTAGGCTGTAGGCGCTGGCATGGCTCACAGGCACGGACAGTGTTTACAATGTCAGCATTAATGCCTGGCCAAAAGACTGTCTGTTGTGCACGACGCTTTGTTGCTTCCACGCCACAGTGACTATCATGCAGGCGAGCTAGGGTGCTACGACGTAAAGAAGCAGGGACAACCACTCGAGGTCCATACAGCACCAAGTCACCATCGTTGTACAATTCACTGCGAATCTTCCAGTACGGTCGCAAGGCACTTGGCAGGCTGTAGCGGTCTTTGGGGAACCCTGACTTTACATGGTGAAGCAGCTCCTCATAAGAAGCATCCTTAGAGGCAGCTGTCCGCAATTCTTCCAAGAAGAGATCCTCTTGCTCGTCTATGGCTTCTGATGCTTTAGTAGACTGAACAGCATGCAGAGCTACAATCTTGACAGAGGTGTCCATTTCAGCATCGAAGGCGCCATCATCCATCGTTGGGCGACTCACAGGTGACCGGGAAAGGGCATCAGGGATGCACAACTCCTTACCTGCACGCCACATTGCGGTATAAATGTAGGGTGCAACCTTTTCTTTCATGCGCTGGAGACGAGGGTTTTCAATTGCATCCAGGGAATAATGGTTCAAAATTGGAACCAATGGACGGTGATCTGTCATCACACTGAAGTGCTGAAGTCCACGAAGATAGAACTTGCACTTACTGATGGCCCAGACGACAGCTTGCATTTCCAATTCGATGGTCGCATACCGTGTTTCTGTATCTGTCAAGAAACGGGAACCACATTGCACCATCTTGTATCTTCCAGCACCGTGGTCCTGCAACAACACATAGCCAAGGCCGTAGAGTCTGGAGGCGTCGGTCTGCAGAATGGTGGAAAGGGCGGGATCAAACGTCGCAAGTATGGGGGGCCTTGATAAAGCCTGTTTAGTATCAATAAAAGCCTTGGTGTGGTCTGCGGTCCAAGTAAAAGCTCTCTTCGGACTCATCAATGGGCGGAGTGGGGCTGCAGCAGTCGAAATCTTAGGCGTAAACTCTGCCAGTTGATTTACCAAGCCCATAAATGATCGAAGATCTGTCAGGTTTGCAGGGGTAGGAAACTCTGCAATGGCTTTTACCTTCTCTGGGTCTGCTTCAATACCATTATTTGATAGCTTGTACCCACAGAAACTGGTCTCAGATGCAGCCACAATGAACTTTTCTGCATTAAGGGTTATACCGTGGTGACGACACCTTGACAGGACTTCGTTTACACGTTGAAGGTGTGAGAGGTAGTCCTCATCATGTAGGAGAATGTCGTCCACAACCTTGATGCAGTTTGTTACTCCCTGTAGTGCTTTGTCACCTCGGAGACAAAAGGCGTCTCCTGTTGCTGCAAAACCCATGGGGCCACGACAATACCTGAAACGTCCATAAGGAGTGATAAATGTCGTCAGGTGTTGATCGTCCTCATGCAAGGGCAGCTGCCAATAACCACAAAGAGCATCCACAGTTGTGAAGAACTTTGACTGCGGACTGATACTTCTGATGGCTGTAAATGGCGTCGGAGAAGGGTGGGCAGGGCGAGAGACTTGTCTGTTCAGCTTTGATAGGTCAGTAGTAATACGTACACCACCATTTGCTTTTGGAACAACGACCATTGGATGACACCATTCTGATGGTTCATCCTCCACTGGCTTTAAGATGCCTTGGGTCACTAATGACTCAAGCTCCTTTCTTGTTGGTTCCTGAAAAGCTAAAGGAATCATTCTTGGGGTGTGGATTGCGAAGGGCGTGGCATTCTCCCGTAGATGAATTCTCATGGGTGGGCCTACCATCGTCTTGAGTGGCCCAGAATGCAGGTCGTCCTTCTTCACCAAAACATCTGCATACTGATGCAGGAAATACTTCCTTGCTTCTTCAGGCGACGTCAGCTGGTTCAGTGGTAAGGGCAGCAACTTAGGAGGGTTCGACATTGGTGCACTGCCCAGCCCATGGACTCGATTGGCAATGCGCATATCTGACATCTGCCTTGGGAAATAGTCCGGAGCAATCCCCAAATCCTTGCACTCGGTCCAAGAGAGCAGCGGGGTTGTAAGCGAAGGCTGAACATCAATCCAACATGTAGTCGAACGGTTGCCATAGGTGATAATTCCACGAAAAGATCCAGCCGCTGGTGGCATCTGTGACCCATCCGCATTGTAGTATATGGTCTCTGCCGGTGGTGCCAAATCTTTCTTTGAGAGGCCGAGACTACTAAGATGCTGGAGTCCAATGACAGTCGTGTCTGCACCTGTGTCAGGGATGATGGCAAGACTCCCTGATAAATCATTATGCCGAATTGACACGCGGACTTTAGGGGAAGGCTGAGGCTTCGGTCGTGCAGTAGAGGTGACACTCCTGGCATATGACACTGAAGGGGATACTGAACTTACTACCTTTAAGTTCTGGTTGGGGTCCTCTTCTTTTGTCTTATTAGCCTTCCTTGTCTTTGGGCAGCATTTGTCATAGTGTCCCTGCCTGTTGCACAACCTGCATCTGGCATTCCTGGCGGGACACTTAGAAGCAGTAGCCCAATGGCCTTTCTTGCCACAAGCACGACATGTGGAAGTGGTGGCCCTGCACAAACCTTTTTCATGTTGACGACCACAGCAGTTGCAGGCCTTATTAGGCAGAGGTGAGCCAGGCCTCATCTTGGACTTCTGCTTCAGGGCGGCCTTTTTCTCTCTTTTGTATTGAGAAACAGCACGTGAAGAAACTGTGTCCTTCAAAGCAGATGATGCAGTCTTTGACGATTCATGAGACCTGCATTTCTCCAAAACATCCTGCAACGTCGCTGAGCGGTCCATCTCAATGAGCTTCTGGGTAAGTTCCTTATCTCGTATACCCATTAGTATGCCGTGTTTCTTCCACTGTTCACAGCATGCTTGGTCCTGAGCCTTGCAAAGGTCTATCTCCTGTGACAAGATTTTCAGGCGTATCCAAAAGTCATCGAAACTCTCGCCGTCTGCTTGCTTGCACTCAGAGAAGGCCTTCCGTCGCAGTGCCTCATTACTTGCATTTTTTATGTGCGTTTCGAGCTTTGCCAAGACATCTTCCACTGAGCATGTTGGGTCTGCGGGCACGTCCAACTTGTGCTCCAGCACCCGTCGCATCTCAGCTGTAAGGCACATGCGTAGCTGTATATGCTGCTTTGATAATGGTAGGCTGACAAGATCCACCATAACAGCATAATCGGACCATTCGCGCTTCCATTCCCGAAATTGTTGGGGACTCGCGTCTGCTGTTAGTGCTTTCGGAGGCTGTATTGTTGCCCTCGGGGTCGGTGGAGTGTGAGAAGCAGTGGGCGCGGCAGAACTGCTCACTGGCGAACTCGCAGGTGAAGCTGCGGGCTGCTGGGGGGTGAGGCGAAGGATCAGCTCCTGAAAACGAGCAGACTCCTCGTTCCTGCGTGCATCCTCTTCTTTCCGGCGGGCGTCTTCCCTCTTGTCATCCCTCTGAATTATCCACTGTAGCAATGTGGCAACATCAGTGGGAGGTGGGGTGCTGGCAGTGGCCCCTGCAGACTCGTCAAGGCTGGAGTCTGGCTTTTCAGGGTCACTCTTACTCGTATCTTCTTTCTTCTTCCCTCTACCCATTGTAATGCGGTAAGGGTGTCAAGATAATACAGCAAAATCGCCGAAAATCCGGTGAAGATACGAAAATGTAGCGTTGGGCAGCGAGTGTTATGGCACTCGTGTGCGCGGTGCCAGTGCGGTGACGTCACGGCGGACATGTGCGGGCAGGCGAGCCGCGAGCGCGAGAGAATCAGTCGCTCACGAAGCGTCGTAGAGAGCGCAGGGTATACCTCGCTCGTACCCCAAAATGCTTCGTTTCGGCTCCCTTATGCTACGAAAATGTCCCCTGAGCACACTAAACACTGCACGAACACTATAGGCACTGCACAATACACATCACTACACTAGAGCACTACACCACTGCATCAATGAAGTACACTGCCGGGCGGGTTGATTGCTGACCTAGCACGAGGGTGGACGAGGCGCAGGGCCGGCGACACGCCATGAGGTCGAGGGGGCCTGGGGCGGGCAGCAATAACAGGCGTCAGAACTGAATTTACTGGATCACTGCGCCATGTTCGTCTTCTTTGTTTGCCTGGTGTTCTTCGATGATACTTGAGGGCGAAGAAAACACCAATGAAAATTAAAGTAGGTTCATTGGAAATCAGGTCTGACAAAAATAATACGGAACTCTTCATGTTCCTCTGCCCCACACGCCAGGCTCCGTCTCTCTGTGTTTACTGCCAGACGTGTGACTACAGAGACAAAATAAAATGTTGTACTCTATAAATCGAACAGAGAATATCATTCTCTCACAAAAGTGATATGCTACACAGTAATATAAACTAAACATAAACTTCTATATTTCACTTGCTATAACATATCACATAAGAGGTAGTGTATATAATATAATAACATAATTATCACAATATGCGTACGATAATACTGGCATTATAATCCATATGCATTGGCATCACAACATGGCACTCACAACTCACATTGTTATCACAACTCACTTCACTATCACAACCCACACAAAGATCATAATGTTATAATTTATTATAAGGATACATGAGATATATTTCACATGAAAATTACTACGATCCTTTTTTTACTTCCAAGGACATTCTTATTGCAAATTGCAATTTATCATCATAAAGTGGGTCCATGCAACATAGCACATTAAATTCGCATTGGAAGAGATCACTGTATTTTATTTATTTGTTTTAATCTACTTTGTCTCTTTTGTTTATAAAGGGTTACGCGTGTTGTTATCTGTCTGTGTATCTAGTGTTTATCTGTTTACTTCATATCCACACCCCTTATTCATTTCTGTCTATTTATTTATCTAGTTGTAAGTCAAAATTTCCATTTCTCTCTCTCTCCTTCTATTTCTATCTCTTTCTCTCTCTCTCTTTCTGTCTCTGTCCTCCCCTACTCTATTTTTCTCTCCCCCCCCCATCTCTCTCTCCTTTCTTTCTTTCCCCCTACTCTCTTGACCCTCTCTCTCATCCTCCCTCTCTCTCTCTCTCTATCTATCTATCTGTGTGTGTGTCTCTCTGTCTGTCTGTCTCCCCCCCCACTCTATCTCTCTCCTTTCTTCTCTCTCTCTCTCTCTGTCTCCCCCCTCTTCTCTCTACCCTCCCTTCCCCCCCCCCCCCTCTCTCTCTCTGTCTTCCCACTCCTCTCTCTACTCTCTCTTTCCCTCCCCCTCCCTCTTGCTTTCTCTCTCTCTCTCTCTCTCTCTCTCTCTCTCTCTCTCTCTCCACTTTTCATGCACTCAGCTTCGCCACAGTGATCCTGCCCCTCCCCCAACTCCCCTTCCACTATCCCCCATCCCCCCCCCTCGCTGTCCAGGCACTCAAGTAGGGGAAAATATATAATATCTTTTTTTCGTTACATTTTCTTTTATTTATTTATTTATTTTTTTATTTTTTATTTTTTATTATTTTTCGTTTTAAGAGACAAGCGCTCGACTTAAGAGCGGGGAAGACCAAGTTGACTTTGATAAGACCAGAAGTGGCCTTTTTGAAGTTTTTTTTTTTCCTTTCTTCTTATTTCTCTATTTAGCTGTTCATTGTTTAAGGAAGAGGGAAAATAGAGTATGGTGATGATAAATGACAAAAATCATAATAAAAAAATAAAAGTATAGTAATAATAGTAATGATATTTGTAATAATAATGATGATATCTGTAATGATAATAATGATATTAGTAATGATAAAAATGATATTAGTAATAATAATGATAAAAATAGCAATGATATCAACAATATTGACAAACATAATAATGATAAGCATAAAAATAATGACGGACATAAGAATAATAATTATAACAATGATAATGATCATAATAATGATAATAATTATGATAATGATAACAACAATAATGATAACAACAATAATGTTAATAATAATGGCAATGATAATAATAATGATAACAACAATGATAATGATAATAATAATATTAGTAAGGATAGCAATAGAGAGAATAATAATTATAATAATGATGATAATAACGATAACGATAATGATAATGATATATATGTATATATATATATGTGTATATATATATATATATATATATATATATATATATATATATATATATATATATATATATATATATATATATATATATACATATGTATGTATGTACACACACACCATGTAGAAAGAACCACAATGCATAAAGTAGATGTCCTGAAATGGAAATAACAGTTTCAGAATCCACATGGATTTCATCTCCTGGTCTGAAAATGAAATTCAGGAGGATTTTCAAACTATTGTCTCATTTTCAGTACATCTACTTTACGCATTGTGGTTCTTTTTACCACAGTGTCAACACGTGTATTACCATACACACACGTCTACATCTGTCTATTTTTATGACAGGTTCTATCTATCTATCTATTTATCTAATATACATTTGTGTACGAGCATCTGTTTCTGTGCAACTGCAAGCACAGAGACACATGCACATGAATATACTCTATACCCTTTTATCCATTTTAAAATATCTCCTCTGTTATTAATCCTTCTTGATGTACAAAATGCAAGGAATATATCTATTCTTATTTTTTATTTCCTCTGTCTGAAATCAATTATCATCTCGAAAGCAGAATAGCGAACGTGGACGTGAGTGGATTTTTGACACTCAAATCAGCCATTTTTTTTCATTCCTGATACGATTCATTTCTTTTTGCAGATTATCCTCCCATTTCCTTTTTTTTCTTTGCAAATATATATTTTTTTCTCTAGAAATAATCACGTATATCTTCCATCACCACCTTTCCCCAATCTCTTAATTCCATAATTCAATAAATAAATCTTACTCCCGCGGTCTTTACAAGAACGGCTGGGTGTAGACGGGATTCAAGGGTCTCTGAATCCGGTGTCGCTGTCTCCTTTAATCCGCATGAATCCACGTGAATCCGGCCAGTGAAAAACACAATTAGAGAGAGCCCCGCGTCATTACCTCTTTACGATTACTGGACTCGGATGCTCAGATGGGATGGATCTCTTCTTCTCGGGTTTATTTATTTATTTTGCGTTTTGTTTTTGCTTTTTGATTGACTTCCATTATCATCTTGTTCCTCTTTATTGTTCGGTTATTTTCATCTTTCTCTTTTCTATCTTTTTACTAACTTTTTCTTTTTTCTTTTTTTATTGTTTCCTTCTTCTACATCATGATCTTTCTTTTTCTTTTTCCCTTTTTCATTCTTCTTCTTTTCTTCTCTCTTTTCTTCATCTTCCCCTCATTAGTTTACTTCTTCTTACTATCTTTCTTTGATGTATGAATCTGAAAAACAAACAAACAATAAAACAAATCATGGTGCACTGTTTAGGATAATTATTAATGTCTGTTAAAGAAAACGAAAATGAGAACAAAGAGGGAGAAAATTAATTGTAATAATAATAATGACAGTAATAAAATAGCAATGATAATGATAATAATAATAATGATAATAGTAATGATAATAATAGTGATGATATTAATAATAAAACTAATGATAACCATAATGATAATAATGATAATAATTAAGATAATTATGATATCAATTATAATTATAATAATAATAATAGTAATTCTAACGATATTGTAGATAATCTTGGTGGAAATTATGATAATGATAACAGTAATAATAATGATGACGATGATGATCATAATAATAAAGATAATAATGGTAATGATAATAATAATGATAATAATGATGATGAAAATGATAATAATAAAAATAGTAATAATGATAATGATAACAACAATAATTTTAAAAATATATTCATAATAATAATAAAGATAATAATAGCATAAATCTTAATCATAATAATGATAATAATAACAATAATAACAATAATAATTATAATGATAATAATAACAATAATAACAATAATAATTATAATGAAATAATAGTAAAAGTATTAACAATAATCATGAAAATAATGATGATGACGATAACAAAGACAAAGGCGAAGAAAAAAGGAAAAGGAAAAAGCCGAGCGTGAATACAGATACTGAAGAAGAAAAGAAGAAAAAGAAAGAAGAAAATGAAAAATAGGAGGTGAGAAGAATAGGAAGAAGATGGTTAAGATAAAAAGAAAAGAAAAGACGAAGAAGAAGAAGAAGAAAAAAAGATTAAGAAAAAGATGACGACAAAAAAAAAAAAAAAAAAAGGAATAAGATAATGGAGAACAGAAAGATAAAAAGAAGAAAAAGAAGGCCATGAATAACAAGATGATAATGGACGAAGAAAAAAAGATAAAGATAACGAAAAAAAATAGAGAAACACAATTTTCATTTTGAAATCCAGTTACACATTTTTAATTACACTTTGCCTCAATTCGGACATTTCATTACATTTGATCAATAGGATTTTCTTTTTTAATTATCATTTTTTAAATCGTAGAGATAACGTCGTATAACACTATACATATGTAATTATGTTATTATCTGGCACCCACGTGATTTAATGTGAATAATAACGTTGATTATATAATCCTTAGATAGGGGAATTATTATAAGATTTATTTATCTTTGTTTATAGAAGAAAATGATGGATAGAAACTGGTAAAAAGTGATGG